GCTCGAGTATCCCACATCCACGTCGGTACCGGACGCCGTTCCGGAAAAGGCCGTGCGACGTGGGGTTAACGGCCGGCACGCCATCCGAAGAGGCGAGATGGAGCCGACGGACGGCGGGCGGGAGAACTGGGGCAGAACTCGGCCTGTGAGCCCTTGGTCCGAAGTGCCGAGATTGTTGCAGTTGGACGACGTCGCAAGAGTTTGCAGCTTCCGCCGATGCTGCTGTCTGCAGCATTCGTTGGACCACGAGTCCTCTCAAGTATCGCAGCATGTTGGCCCACGGCTCCGAGCTGCCGTCTTGGGCAAATCTCACCACATGCATTCGGAATCGGTGCGTATTGGTGATTCGGCCAGCGTCAAGTGACTTCACGGCCAAGTGATGGAGGCCACGCGTCCCGGCCCATCATCCGTCTTGTCTTCGGAGCCGCCGCTGCGGGTTGAGAGCGAGGCGGCGTCCGCGTGCGCCGACTATGCCACGGATGTACGATGGCGGGTCCAGATTGAGCTCTGCCTCCATTTCTGTGGATTCCCTCCCGTCTGCTATGGACTGCCGAAGTATTCCAGAAACCCAATCGGACGCACACACTCGCCGATGCGTTCACTTGTTCGAACGCCTAGCATCGATGAGATATGAACCGATTACCTTGGGTCCGCTGAGAAGTCGCAGCCACGCCCAGTCCAACGCAGGAGAGCTTCAGAAATATCTCTTTAGTCTTCTGACAAAAAGGAAGCCCGCCATGAGGCAAAACAATGGACACTCGGGGAATTGAACCCCGGACCTTTCACAAGGCGCACCACCTGGAGATACCGGCGAAGATGCGAAGCGAAAATCATACCCCTAGACCAAGCGCCCGAATCGTATGCACAGTGAGGCCAAGAACGCGATCGAGAACCCACCACGGCGGAGATCGTGGCGGGGGAAGACGCAAGAGTGGGATTCTGGCGACGGCGATGGTTGGTTGGGGACGACGGTGGGACCGCTCGTGTACATCTGTCCTGTGGGTGAACAGTAGAGCCAGCGCTCAGACTCGACAGCGCCCCCATCTGAAGTCACGATGGAATCACCGAGAAACCTCTCTTCAAGGCGAGGCGCTCGGGAGTGATCCAAGGATATCAGAAACGTTCGAGGCCCTGCTTGGTAGTTTGGGCAGTTCGTCTTGGCAACGAAAACAAACGGGAGCCACTTCGCTTGCCCCGGCCGCGATCACGACATGGGAACTCGAGCAAACAATCAAGAGGAAACGCGACACGGTCAGATCGATCTTGCCAAGGCTTCAAAGATAGCCTCATCGACGTCTCAAGGGAACGAGAAGTCTAGACGCGCCGGGCTGGCTGTCATGGCTGTCACCGAGGAGGCGGGGTGAGGAGGGGGAGGGGGCATGTAACCGTGGCCAGGGGGCTTCTCCGTCTCAGGAAGCCCAGAAAAGACCCTTAAAACAAGCACAGAAAAAAAGAGGGAAAGCCTAAAATAGAGAGGGGGACGGCATCGCGACTAAGTCAGTTTCCCTGTCGTTGATCCTGGAGAGAGACGGTTGATCCTTTATCTCAAATCAAGTCCTATTTTGAGGTGTTGGTTTCGCGGCATGCGGGGCGACGAACGTTGGGGATGGGGACAAGGAGACCGGGCAGGATGGTGTCAAGTCTTCGCGGAGGATAGACTTTTGCCTCGAAGCGCAGAACTGTTAACGTTATATGCTATATGATGCTCGGTATCCCCAGAGTTGTGAGAAACGTGCCATGGTTCCCAAATGCGGTTGTTGGTGGTAAGGTGCTTGTCAAATCTGGTACACGCCCCTACAACGAGCGTCAAGAATCCTTACTATTCAACTGAAGAGATAATTGGCAAGCGCATTGCTATAAGATATGCAGCAAGAATTGTGCCAACTTCTATTGTAGTGAATAGATTGTAGAAGTCTTCCGAGACACCACGATGCTTCACAAGAGTCGATATGTGCAGGGCAACGAGACATGAAAGGACAAGGCCGTTGCTTGGATATCATAACATATCTATCGTATCGTATGTGTTTCCATCATATCGTTCTTCGCTCGCTGTCGTTCAGACAAAATACCTCATCCAGCAGATAAATCATAACCAAATATCCCAACAACTCCAGACCCTCATAGAAGCACAAATCATGAAACATCATATCTCCCAAATAATAAGACCCATCCCGAATAGACTCATACAAAGTCATCCAAACCTATGCCAGGTCTTCCCTCACCGCCTGTGAATGTACTCCCGCTCCCTCCTGCGGTCCGAGATGGTAACTCTCATCCTCTCCTCCTCAGGCGGCGGGGGCGGCGGCAGCATGCGCGGTGGCGAGTACCGCCTCCCCTCGACGTACCTGAACGTCTCGTAGCGCGGCTCGACGGGGACGGGGACGGGGTACGGCACGCGCACGGGGACGAGCTTCTCGCGCTCGACGTAGACCTCTCTGACGTCCCTCTCGCGGTCGCGGCTGCCGTGGCGTGAGTGGCTGCAGCTGCGGCTGCGGCTGCTGCGTGAGGACTTGCTGCTCTTGCTGCTCTTGACGCTCTTGACACTAGGCTCCACGTCGACTGCGATGACCTCGATGGGCGCGGGCTCAGGCGGCAGGACGATGGGCGGCGGCGGAGGAGGAGGAGGGAGCGCGATGACGGGTGGAGGCGGAGGAGGGAGAGGCTCGACAACGGGGGGAGGAGGGGGCGTGCAGGGCCTGACGATGACCGGCGGCGGGGTCGGCTCGCGGGCTGGGATGAAGGTTGTCTTCTTTGTGCGGACGGTGACGGCGCCGTTGGTGGGGGGTTCAAGGTAGAGGCGCTTCTTTGCGCCGTGGTGGGAGTGGTGGCGGTGGTGGTGATGGTACTCGTAGTATTCTCGTGAGGATGCTGCTTTGGTGATTAGCTTTTTTGCTTCTGAGGTGACGTCAGGGATAAAGCGGGAGTTACACGTACCCATTTTGAACAGCTGTGCAGAGAGGGAACTGTTGAGGAGGGAAGTCTGAGTGCGCCGGTGTGGCCTACACTAAGGTGCGACGTTGGCCGATACCGACGGTGTGGTTTTCACAACGGGGGACCGAGGTTCGTTTTGGGTTGCGGGTAGGCGCAGGTCGCAGGCGGATTCTGCTGCAACACACCCGGATATGGGATGATGTGAAGGAGTAAAAAAGGGACGATCGAGTTTGTTTGGCGGGACAGAAGTGAAGATCAGCTTCTGAATCAGAAAAGAGAGGCGGGAAGGCTGGGTTTCGAGTGCGTGGCGATGGAGCTGCACTAAATAAGGTCGGGGGCAGAAGAAGGGGGGATGAATGGTGGGCGGGAGATGCGCTATCCCATTATATAACTACGTACCGCTGGGCGCAAGAGAGCCAGCTGCTGCCAGGGAAAGACACAGAAAAAAAGACTTGGAAAAGCGAACTTGTCCAGGCAAGGCCGGACGGGAAATGTCACCGTCGCTGACGGCTGTCACTGGTTGGGTTGGGCGGCGGTGGGTGTCACCCACACCACCCACCTCGCATAGCCGGATAGTACAAGTACCTTGCGCTTCCTAGTTTGCAGTACAGTACAGTGCTCACAAACACCAAGGAGATGATGGTGTGTCAGCCCGAGGGAAAGCCCAGTCTGGATGGGAGACCCAGGCCAGGCTGGGTCGACGTGCAGCTGCAGTGTCGAGGGAGAGAAGACGACGACGGGAAGTGGTGCATCGCCATGGCCGTGTCCCCCGCCCTCTGGAGGCTCAGCACCAGCAGCACCAGCGCCGAGGACCCAGCAGCGGGAAGCCCGACCGAGACGAGACGCACGAGAGAGGGGACCTGATGGAGCACAGCCGCTTTGGATGGAGCTGAACATACTCAGTACTAGTGTATGGTATCTTTTCTGCAATACTCTATTCGGCGCGCAAAGTGGGATATCTCTAGAGAGCAAGCAAATGAACAAACAATGACACTGGGCGATCAAATTACAATTAGGAGGGACCATGCAGAACCGCAAACCTGTCCAACAAAACCCAGGACCATCCCCCCTCCATCTTCCCACATGAACAAGACCCTTCCCTCCTTCCAGACCGTCCTTCCACCATCTTCTTTCCCTTCGCGTGAGGGACAGGGGCGCGCGATTGGGCAATTAGGGCCTTATGACGCCAGTGGGCACGTCACGCCAAAATCAAGATTCCGGGAGGGTCCTCGTGCGCTCTCCTGCTGGAGGGAGGGGTGCTTAGCCCGGGCTGCCACCTCTCTCTTTTTTGGGTTCTCCGGCTGACATCCCCCGGCGGTCTCGACCGTCTTCATTCGCTCCGCGCACCTCGGGTCCTCTCTCGATGCACTGCGGTATGTGTGTGCGAGTCCTGCGTCCTGTCCTGCGTGCTGCCCGTCACCGCCGATGGTCGACGGCGCGGGATGGGAGAAAATCAAGGTTGTTGATGTGCCGCCGCGCGGGATTGCTCGCAGCTAGCTCGCTGCGCACCGCCATTTCCCACGAGATGCGATTGCTCTGCGCCGCGCCTTTTCGTCCACTTGCGCAGCCAACTCGGGGTACCCCTGATCGTGGGGTTGCAGGGCTGAGCTTGTTGGATTGGGTGCGCTGGCAGCTCCATCTTCTGTCCCAACCATCTCCGCCGCGCCGCCGCCATCTCTTTGGGGTCCGGGGCCAGCAGACATCGTTGGGCTGCGGGCCGAGAAGAGAGAGAACTATTCTTCCCCCAAGTCGCTGCTGCGCGGCCTCTTGGGCCCCGATTCTTAGGAGCTGGCCTCACTCTCGTTGGGCGCCGTCTTCGATGCCAAGGCCGCGAACTGTACGATCCCATCTATCGATCGTCGCTGGCTGCATGCTTGACTGATTCGAGATCCGGCCATCTCTTCGCAGCCCAACCTCTGCATTGCCGCTTTCTTTTTTCTCGCCTTCCCAGATCAAGTAAGTCTAGATCCATCCATTAGGACCCTTGACCCTGGGATCTATCCGGCTCGGGTGCCCCCGAACTTCCTTGATACGATCCAAGGCAGTCGCCCATCGTGGGACTAGGGCCCTCAAGCCGCCGACATCCTCGCGCGCTGCTGCCGCCGTGACGCACCATCTGACCGAACCAGCTTCACCGTCCGCCTCATGAAGTTCTGTTTGGCTGACGGCGGTCGAGCATACACAGCCGCCCTCGGAGCAGGGAGCTCACGCACCTCCATCGCGTCATGGTGATTTGACTTCTCTGAGATGCCAGCGTGCGCAGAGAACCCGGATCCGAAATTCTCCTCGCGGCGAAACTTATTGGCCATCCAGTTGAACAGATGGCCTAGCTCTCCCATCCACCACAGACCGAGCACGATGACCAGGATGGTGACTGGTATCGCAGAGGCCCAGTAAAGCCACTGACCGGCCTCCATGTCACGGATGTCGCTCGTGTTCATCCCGAAGATGCTCGACACCGCGCTCAAGGGCAGGAATATGATTGTGACAATGGTGAAAGCATAAATGGCCTGCTCTTGCCGGTCCTTCGTCACCGCTGCGTTGTTCAGGTTCTAGCCACTCGTCAGCAAAGTCATCCCATGCTGAAAGTCAAGTTTGTTGGGCTTACCGTCTGCTCCAGGACATCGGCCTGTTCAGCATATTCATCAAAGTCTCTTGCCCGACGCTCCAACAGTTGCGTGCACTCTGCGGCGAGGAGATCCCTGAAGCCAGCAGCATCCGTGGACGGAAGCTTGTAAAAGTCTGACACCTCAGCGATGGATGCGAGCAGAACGTCCGCCTCGCCATCCTCGGCGTATCTGTTCCTCGCCATGCGCAGGTGATTCCGCAGGGACGCACCTTCCCGTCTGTTCGCCTCACTGTACTGTACCGCGTTCAGACGGCGGTGCTTTGGTGTTGTGGATGAACCTTCGTCCCGAGATGCCAGAATAGAGTTGAAAACGCTGTTTTGCGCAGCTATCGTGCGGTTGATCACGGTGACTTCCTGACGCAAAAAGTTGATTCGCTGCTGATAAGTCATGTCTGACGCCCCGTTTGCAATTTCGTTCTCCTGCGAAGAATAAAGTGTCAGCACGTGAAACGGCGGTGTTCAACCCAAATTAGACTTACCAAAGCTCTGAGATACTCAGAGTATGTGTCGCTGATTCCAGCATACTTTTCAGACGTGTTGGAGAGGAGTCCGTATCCGATCAGGGATACGACCTCCAGCGGGAGGACGGAAGAGCGTTCCAAGAGCTTAAGATTTGACAGGCGTTCCATGATGTGCTTCATGCCGCTCTTCACCAAAGAGTCGGCCACGTCCAGATGGTCCTCCCACATGTGTGTCTCATGACTGGCGTAGATCAGACCCATGACCAGATGAAGCCAAGCACGGATCAGGTCAATAGGCACGTCGATCTCCAGACGGTCTGTAGGTTCAGCGTGAGACAGGATGCTCTTGAAAGCCATGACAGGGAGGGCGAGTTGTCGCAAAGCTTTTCTCATCGTTGGGGCGTTGGCGAAGACGGCGTCGCGTCGTCTCTTGTCGAGTCCGTGAGGGTGAGGTTCGCCATCTGCGGAGTCGGATACGGGGACCTAAAGGTAGTTTAGCGACATGTTGAGTTTGCGGCGAACTTTAGACGGAAACTCACCCAGACGAGGTTCATCACAGCCCCCCAAAACCGCTCAGTTGTTGGCCCGTCAAACAGTGGAGGCAGGAAAAATCTGAACAGAGTGTCGGCAGCGTTGAATATGTCAACGCGGTCTTCGTAGTCCTGCTTCTTCCAAGGTTTGTTCTTTAACTCCTGGATGGCAGCCCCCTGCTGTTCAAGGTAGGCGTAGACCTCGTCTCGACCAGACGCCTCGGAATCCAAGTAAGCTCGCCGGTCCGGCCCGTTTGTCTCGGCAGTCAAGAAATCCTCTACTTCGGAAAGCTGTTTTTGTAGGACAATAAAGTTGGGGCCTTCGACCGGGCTTGAGATATGCGCGTCAGCCCAGCTGAAGACGTGAAACCTCTCGTTTGCTTTTCCATGTCCCGGCGGATAGCTCAACCGTTTTCCGGGTGAAAGGGGAGCCGGCTGAAGGTCGGCACCGGGCTGAGACCGAGTATTGCTCACTAATTGTCCGATGGGTCGGAGGATGCCGCTCGGCGGAAGTTGAGGTGGCGCACTGTTTCCCGTTAGCTACATCCGGCAAGCTACGGAGCTGATATACCGACCAGGTTTCCATCGTGACAACGACATTTCTGCGTGATGTGCTAGCAAACTGCAAGACCTTCCACCAACGTGCTTCGCCCAGCTGACGGCCGTTAAAGTGGAAGCGCACTGCCTTGGGCCAGAAGTCGGCGAAGTGGGCAATGAACGCAAACCAGGTCTGACACTCCTCAAGAGGGAAAGACCACAAGACTGATTCCCCGTATTGAACGAGGATACGCCCAGACTCTGCGCTGTGAGAAGGGTCTTTCGCCGGCTCCGACACCACGCTGACACTGTCGCCTCGCAGGGCCGCCTCGGACATCGAACCGCAGGTGATGAGAAGGGAGTTGTCGAGAACGATGCACCAAAGCTGGCGAATGTGAAAGCAGGAACTCTTCTCACCGTTCCCAATTTGCCGCGTAGCTTGTTGCATGTCGCGCTTCTGGGAGTTTCGAGAGAACGATGCTTGCAACAGAGTCTGGGGAGGGTAAGCCCCTGGGTTTCCAGTGGCCAGGATTCCAGAGTAGTCCTCGAGAGAGAAGTAGGGTACACAAAGCCATGTTGCCGTTCGCTTACCCGGAGTCGACCCTTTCTCATGTTCCCCTTTTTGTAGAGGCAGTTGGAGGTAGCTCGGCTCCATGTGCTTTACCGTGGTTTGCCGGCTGGTTCTGACTGTCTTGGAATAATTCTTCCTCACGTCGGAGAGAAGCTTCCGGATGTCATTCTGCTCGTTCTCCGAGAGGCATCGCGAGATTTCATTCTGGGAATGGTCAGCCTCGGGGCCTTCTGTATACTGCTGAGAAAATACCCACCGTGAATTCGTCAAAGTTCATCATGTCTTGTTGTACATGCCTAGCAGTTGTTAGGGATGAAGAAACAATGTTTGTCTGAGAACTTACAGCCACCTGAACAGAGACTGCCTCCTCCTCCTCGCATCATGGACAATCTCCAAAGCCGCAGAGTGCAAGCCACCAAGCACACCTTCCCCGGTGTACTTTGACTGGTACACATAAAATGCTTCGCTCAGCGGTGGCTCTTCTCCCCTCAGCGTAGAGTCGTCAGAAAACGGCGTCTCCAAATCAGACCCGTCGTCGTCTTTTGAGTGATCGCCAGACGGACGAGCGGGGTCAAAGGCGTAAACCTTCCCCGTCGTCTCCTCCACATCAACCCAGTCCTCCGTCTCCTGAATAGGAGTCAGATACTCCATGTCCGTGAACTCTGGCGGCATCGGGAACCCGTCCAGGTCGACGGAGTGTTCGTCTCCCGTAGCGTCCGTGTAGACAGAAATGGGCGATGGCTCTTTGGACGGGGCCGGAGGCATCTCTTCTTCCTCTTCTGGCACCGCGGACGGGAATGCTGGTGTTTGCTGCCGCGAAATAGGTGCTGCCATGGGCGTTTTCGGCCGGCGTCTCGGTGTGATGGCGTCCATAGGCGAGGCGAAGCGAACCATGGGCTGAAGTAGTGATCGGGTCGATCGCCGGCGGGCTGGGGTGGTGGCATGCGGCGGTGGCGTCGGCGGGACGGGGATGTAGATGTCATCTTGCTTCCGAAAGTCCTCCATCATCTGGGCCAGGTTCACACCCCTGTACTGGCTTCTGAGACTTTGTGCTGAAGTTCGCGGTGGGAACAGGGAATGGCCTCGACGGCGAGGTTCCCTCTGCGATTCATACATATTGCTGGCCGATTCGTACTGTGTCTTATGCCTGTATTTTGTGTGTGAAACACAGTGTAAAGTCTCGTCAATGGTGTGTAAGTGGCTACCGAAGCCCTTGGACGAGCCAGATATTGGTCGTCTTTTCTTCAAGTGGTAAGTGGTATCAATAGTTTCAACGACCAAACGCCTCAAACCTCCCGAAAAGGGTCGTCTCAGAACGTGTCTGCAACACTTAAGTAAGAAAAATGCCTGCAATAGTGGTATCGCGTCAAATGTCACCCAGCCGACGCTTGTTTCTTGGCCAGCCACCCGCGTGGTCGCAATCAGGTGGCAGGGCCGCCGCTAACACGAGGCCCAGTGGGCATGTGCGCTACCCGTGCGCTGTCGCTCCAGGCACACAGAACCGCTAGCGCCGCCGTTGGCAACCTCTCTCCCCGCCATCTTCAGCGCTCGTCGCGGGGAGGTCCCAGCAGCTGTTGGGCGTTTCTGCGCCGAGCCCAGCCACTGACGTCCTAAGACGGTGGTTCCTGGTGCTTCTGCTACTGGGATGTACCTGCATTCGCGATGGACGATAGCCCGCTTAAGTCGGCATCGACATGGTTCACGGAGGCTCACGATAGCTGCTAGTTTTTCACGAAAAGGCGAGTAGCGTATGTTCGGATCTCTTTTCGTTGCCGTCCCGGCCGAATGTCTACACAAAACAAGTGGTTGTCCGTCCTCCTGAACTCCCAAGTCAACCCACGGGTATCTACCGTTCCTGAACTCCAACCCAAGTGGTATCTCGTCCCGTTCCAGAAAAAAAAAAAAGGAAGACTAAAGAAAAACAGACGATGAGCGTCCCCAGAGTCCTCGTATGTCCATGTCCACGTATTGGTATCAATAGGCTTAATGAGCAACTCGATCGGCTGAGGAACTCAAGGCCATCCGTCTAGCGCAAAGAAGCAACGAAACCACCTCGAAGGATCTTAGCCAGCCATTCGTTACCAGAATTTACAATGTTCGTAAGGCTGGCCGGCCAAGTATCTGCCATCATCCGAGCGTCCATCCCTATTGCTGGGATCAAAACCGTCGCACTGCTGCAGGTACGCATCCGCCGGTCGTAGGTAAACAAGGTGAAGCAAGTCAGAAAGCCGCCGTAAGTTCTGTTCTCAGACTAGTCCCTCTGCTAGAGAAATTGAGCCAGTGGTTTTTCAGCCATTGCAAAGTCGAAGCCAGCATCCACAATGAGAACCCACATGGAAGGTGTTGCTGAGAGCGATGGCAAGTGCGAAGTATCCCAATGCCGAAGCTCGTCACCAACAGTGAGGTGCAAACAGCAAGAAGTCCAGGCTGAGGAGCGACTGGCTAAAGACATGCCCGGTCTTTAAAAGTTCGGGATGTGAGCGTCTCTCATCTTCTTCGCCATCTCGTCGATGGATGCGATGTAGTAAGACGGGGCAGCAGTCGAGGGACCAGGAATACCGAGCTGCTGTTGCTGCTGCTGCTGACGGATCTGGGGCAGATTGACGTCGGTGTAGAACTCCTCCTCCTCGAGCCAGTTGCCGTCGCGATCGAAGATTTGGGCATACTCGTCGAGAAGACCCTGAGAGTACCAAAGCTTCATGTCCTCGCGCCAGGGGAAGTTGAGGTCGCTCCAGAACCGGGTGATCGGGTCCTTGAAGGCAGGCTGGCGGCGCCAGAAGGGCAAGACGATCACGAACAGCTTCGCGAGCAAGAGCTTCATCTTGCAGATCTCCTCGGGCTTCGCCTTCTTCTCCTCGTAGATGCAAATCATCGCCATGCGAATAGGCATCTCGAAGCTCTCCATCAGGCCCGGCTGCGTAAACTGGTAGTGGTAGAAGCGGCCAGAGAGAAGGGGGCCGTAGTACTCGACGGCCTCCTTGACGTTTTCGAGGAAGTACTTGCAGCCGCTGGCGATGTCGAGCTTGACGCAAGTGCGGTAGTTCATGGCGTTGAAGAGAACGAAGCGCGCATCCCACTTTTTCTGGCCTCGGTCGACCTTCATGCCTACCAGAACTGGGGAAATTGTCAGAAAACTGCACCATACTGGAGCTCGCAGGCATTTCCTTACATCCGTTGTAGAGAAAGACGATGATAGGGCCAACCTGCTTGATGTCATACTCGTCCATCTTCAGGAACGTCTTGCCATTCTGTTCAAAAACACGATTAGGATGCATTTATTGTGAAGTCAAGCGCATGCCTTACCGCGTCAGCAGGGGGAAGGTGCTCGGAAAACCAGGTCGAGTCCGTGACCAGAATATCGCGGTGAGCCAAGGCGTTCATACTACCCTTCTTGAAGGCAAGGGTGACATCCCATCCGTGCTTGGCACCAAAGAGCCTGCGAAGACGAAAGTCAGCAGGCGACTAGTATTCACTTTGTCGGGTTACTCACTCGCGGCGGCGGTCTCTCTCGCGCGCAGCGAGCACCGCCTTGGCGAGAGCCTCCTCCTCCTCGACTTCCTTCTTCTCGGCCTCGGCAGCAGCGGCAGCAGCGGCAGCAGCGGCAGCAGCGGCAGCAGCGGCAGCAGCAGCGGCTCCGTCGTCTTCCTCCTCGATAGCCACAGCAGAGTCCTCATCCTCCGATTCAGAGTCCTCGAAGGAAACGGCGACGCCCTTGCCCTTGTCCAGCTTGACCTTCTCCTTCCGAGTCAACTTCTTCTTTTCGGCAAACAATTCGACGGACACCGCGGGGCGGCCGCCGCTGCCGATGGGAGTGTCGATAGCTTCGCGAGCCGCCTTTCTGGCCTTGGCCTGGACCTTCTGCTTGGCCGCGCGCTTCGAGTTCTTCTTGTGAGCCATGTCGCTGTTGTTGCTGTCGTCGCTGTCGCTATCGTCACTGCTATTGTATTCACTGTCGTCGTTCTCGCTATCGTCGTTCTCGCTGTCGTCGTCTCTGCTATCTTCGTCGGCGGTAGTGATGTCGGTGTTTGTGTAGGATCCAGAAGAAGTCTTGGTCGAAGTGAGAGGAGGAAAATCCACAACACTGGCAGTGCAAGGTGAGGGATTCTCCAAGTTTACAGCACAAGCTGACTGAATTTTAGAGCTAGGCTCCGAGTTTGTCGAGCTGCCTTTGCCTTCCCGAGTGAGCTTCTCCTGGTCGAGGACAGCAGAATGAAGTGCTGCCAGAGATGCAGCAGGGGTGAGGCTTTCTGCGGACAAGGACGGGAATTCCTCCGCTTCAATAGTAATATCCTGCCTCAGGGGGCTAGGCTTCATGCCCTTCGGGCAGGCGACATGAGCCCAGGAGCGCATCTTTAGAAACTTGTGAGACACACGGTTAGTAGGCAGTCGAGACTCATACAAGTTCAAAGGAACTTGAAAGACGATGGCACGCAACAAAATCAATGTCGAATGGGTCTGTGGAAAAAGATGAGATATGCGTGAGTGAGTGGGTTGGCTGTGTCTAAGAAGGCTCGGGTGCAGTGCAGCAAGCTTGGGATCTCACAAATCTCAAAAGAAAACTGCTTGTGAGAATTCTGTGTGAAAATTCTGAGGCAGGTGAGAATTCCAGGTCGGCAGGTAGCTGGTGTGCTGTGGTAAGTGATCCTTCCCCTTCTGTTCTTTCAGTCTCACCTTCGCCTTGCCCAGTGCCTACCAAGAGGAAAGGAGTCTACATGTATTCCAGGCCTATCTACAACTCCGAGGAAGGAGAGATCTTCTCTGATGAGAGATCATATTGTTGCAACTCGATTTTTGAGGAAGTCCCCCTTCACTCAGTCATTTTGATATTTCACCCCTGAAGCCTTGAATGAAATATGAATCCTTAAGCAGACCTCATGAATCTGGCTTGAGCTTCTTTAAGAAAATCAATCCCTTCAGCGACTCGGTAAATTCCTCAACCTGAGTGGTTGAAAACTTTCTAGCTGTAGAAAGCATGAACAGAGGAAAGAGTGCCCCACTTGGTCGCCCCCTACTTCCTTCATTGTGGTAAAGAACCCAAAGCTCAACGCTGGTTTTGTCCGACACAAACAGACATTGCTATGATGTATGGTCTTTGTCAGCCCAGCTATGGCGAAGAGACTACTGCCGACAACAGCAAACCGGCGGTAGAATCTTCGTCAAAAGAAATGCACTTGCGTCCGCAACCTCGCTTTGCACTGCAAGTTTGTTAGAATTTGACTTCTGCGCGGCCAAGCTCCCGTGCCGCTGCAAGGGTCGTATTTCAAGAAAAAAGGCAGAATGTCGCAAGCCGGTGGGCGAGCAGCGGCCGGGTTGGGTCAACGTTGTATCAAAATTCTCCGAGTTTTTCAAGATCAATAAAAGAAAATAAACCCTATTCGTTTTTTCAAGATCGAGAATATATTTACTTCCAACCGGAAGGAAAACAAACAATAAAGCGAAGAAGATGAAAAAAAATCAACCAGGTCAGTGGTCGCAGATCATCCATCGTCGTTGTCGTCTGTATACTTACATAAGCGGGAGCAAGGACAAAGAGCAAAAGACCGGCCGCCCAAGGAAACATCACAATCTCTGGGGCATGGGCGATATAAGGTCAAAACGACCCCGGTCTTCGCTAGTCATGTCCATCCATACCTCGCTCTCGCTATTTCCTGTTCAGACCATCGATCGGACCCACTACCGAGCCGATCCTCGCGGATTGGACAGCCGTCATCAGAGTTGACCGGCGCACTTGCGGGGCGGACGGCAGACGTTCCATCGGAGGGGGGGCACTTGGTGAGCGCTTGGCGCTTGCACTTACAGGGCATCATACCTACCAAACCTGAGAGGCACAACGTGCTACATTGATGAAAACCCGCCAATCTTTCTGACTGGATCAAACCTTAAGAAAACCAGCCAAGACAGACAATGTCAAGGCCTTTGATGCTCGGGAAAGTATCACCGCACAACGAGACAAACCTCGGGAGTTGCACGGGGAACCGGAGTCCGCCATCATCTTCCCAAACAGACGGCGCCCCGGTATGCCCCTTTACACGGGCCTTGGAGACCAGCCGATTTGCGGTGGTGAGGTTGCCATCTCCACCGTCCCCCGTTTAAACTCGGACTCATGATCCGGCCCGAGAAACATTGACACCTGCCCGAGTCCCCCGTGTTGATGATAATAATAAGCAGTCGCCCACGAGCAACGAAGACGGGTCTTACGATGAAGTTGACATTCCAATCCATCTTTTACCCCAGACCTCACAAATATCTCTACCTATACCCAGCAAAATGAGCTCCTCAAGCGGCAACAGAGCCCTCTGGATCGCATCCTACGATGAGCCCGCCCAGATCATCGACCTCCCCATCCCAGACGCTCCCTCCGGCACGGTCGTTGTAAAGATCCTTGCTGCTCCTATCGTCCCTTACACCCACCTCTTTCACTCCGGCAAGCTCGAGCATGTCTCTCTCCCTCCCCCCTACGTGCCCAACCCGAATGCCATCGGCCGAGTGCATCAAGTCGGCCCCGACGCCGTCAAAGTCAAGGAAGGCGACCTTGTTTACGTCGACGCTACCACCCGTGGCCGTGACGATCCCGGAAGGATGATCATGATCGGACACATTGGCGGCCACGGCGAGGACAAAAAGCTCACCGAGGAGTGGCGTGACGGTTCACTGCAGCAGTACCAGAAGGTGCCCCTCGAGAACGTCTACCTTCTCGACGAGAAGCGTCTGTGCGGCGAGCTTGGATATGACTTCGCAGCTTTACATTCTATCGCACACTACTCCGTCGCCGCGGGTGCCCTCCTCGAGGCGGCCGATGTTAAGGTGGCCGAGACCGTCATCATCGGCCCCTCAGGAGGTTCCTTTGGCGGCCTGGCCGTCGAGGTCGCCCTCACCGCAGGCGCCAACGTCATTGCGCTAGGCCGCAGCGAGAACAAGCTCGCCGCCATGCGCAAAAAGCTCAACGACCACCCCCGCCTCAAGACCGTCGTCATGACCGGCGACGAGGAGGCCGACGCTGCAGCCATCCGCAAAGCGACCCCCAACGGCACCGGCGCTGAGATCTACAACGACTGGACCCCCGGCGAGCTCAAGAACCCGCCGTACCTCGGCGCCGCTCTGCGTGTGCTCAAGCGCGAGGGCAGAATCATCCTCAGCGGTGGCGCCAGCGAGACTCTGACTATCCCCTACGCCTCCTTCGGCATCATGAACCTCAAGCTGCAGGGCAAGTGGATGTGCGAGCGCCGGACGCTCGAGCAGCTGATCAGGATGATTGAAGGTGGCCAGCTGCGCATCGGCAAGGAGAGCGGCAGCGAGCTGGCCGTGTTCACGCTGGACCAACATGAAGAGGCCATCGAGCACGCGCGACTCAACGGTGGCTGGAGAAACTACACCGTTGTCGCGCCCAACCCTTGGTAGAAAAAGACGGCTCCACAGAATTGTTTTGCTTTTGATATCTTCCTTTCGTCATATGTAGCAAACGCATCAGCGTGCAGTCGATACAGGCTTGAGGCATTTGTGAAAATAGAGAAAAATTAGAATTATTGAGCGAATAGAACCCGACTCCGATTATGGGCTTGTGTAACTGAACCCCCCCCCCCCCCCCATAATCTCCCCCAGGGCTGCAGATGACAAAATGTGCTCTGACTTCTATCATCGACATGGATGTCAGATCTGTCCCTGCATGTTTGTCAGTTTCTGAACAAGCGACACGTCACATTGCTGACGAGACCCGAAAACCAAAATCCGACGACACGGTCCAGAGACGGAGGGAAGGTCTGTCTGTCTTACCTCGTAAGCCAGTCTTACACGACCCGTATCCCGTTGCGCCATTGGCTGACCCTCGTCGAGTAATTAAATAAGGTTTATGTTTCCATCGTAGATCTTGCGTTGACAGCCCAGGGCAGACAGCCCGCCGCCAATGCATGTGAATGGTGAATGAGTGAGATTATGTAAGGGCAGGGCAGGGCCAGCCATGGATACCTCCTTACCCAACGGGCCAACAAACGTCGCAGCGGTCTTGTCCCCGTGTTTTTATTGCCTGGCGGCTCCTGTGCCGCTTTGCTGCAGGCATTATTGGCGGGGAGCAGCTCCTCCGTTTGCCGGTGTGTTTTGGCAGCCCTCCCAGGGCTCCTTCCAAGCACACGTCGACATGGGTCTGGAAGGTTAGGTACATTGCTGGCCGTTTGTCACTGGCTGGGCTCCGGTCGGTGAAGAGCCGGACGCGCTCATTCACCGGTACGGCGCTCTCATCTCAAACGAAAAGATAAGACGCCATCTGAAGGGGGACAGGATTTGCAATCATGTACATGGCCATCATGAAGCTGTGAGATGGCGTCCAAATATTGGTAGAAGATACTTTAGCTACCTTACATAGGTGCGATGTCCGTCTCGTACCTCAGGTGTAGGCAACTTGAAGCTTTGCGGCTTGATCAATAAGAACCCGTTTTCGTGACCCAACAATTGAGGCATACATGCAAATACTAACAATAAAAACAGACGACAACACGAAATATGAATCAACAATACGCAGTAGACCAGCCACTCACTCTCCTCATTGAATTTAAACTCGTCGGCAATGCCCTGGGGCACTGGAGAGGACCCAAATGCAGCAACATCACCCGAACTGAGGGACCGTGCACGACGAGCATCCCCTTCCCCGGGCGCTAGCATCGCTCCCGCCGTCGCTGGGATCCCTGTCCACCACATGGCGGGGGGAGCTTGCCAAGGTGCCCCGTGGAGGCACGCTGCACGACCGGTGTGCTTCCCTCCAGGTTCCCTTCCAGCTTGCCAGCCAGCCCAGTCAGGTCGGTCTGCACTTTACACACAACTGGACACACACACCTCGCACGCCGGGACACACCACACAAACGTGGTACCGGCACCAACCAAACTGAGGTAAGGGTATCTGTCAGTCGCTGCAGTCAATCAGTCAGTCAGGTTGGAGGAAAGCAAACGCGCACACAATCAATCAACGGCACTTTCCAGCCTGAGGCCCCCATCTTTTTTCAACTTCACCTCGTCCTCAAGCGGTGCTGCCTCCTCCTCCGTTCGCCGAGCTTCAAGGCAGGAAGGCAGGAGACGCTCGTCGGTCGTCGCCTCCCCCGAAATCTGAGCGGATCTGACACACTTCCTGCCTCCAATTCAACTGCCTTCCACCACGATCGCTCTTTTTTCGCTCCCTCGGCCGCCCACGACGACGCGCCGCCGCCGCCTCCACACCCAACCGACCCCTCGCCTCATTCACTCCACATCCATTTGCTGCCTCTCTTGACATCATCGCAGCAAACAATTACTCAGTCTCATGTCTGTCCCTTTCATCGCACTCACTCCGCAGTGAAAGTGTTGCTCATCCCGATCGCTCCATTCGCTCAGACCCTCTCGGTGCCGCGACTCAGGTAAGTTATCTTCGCCATACCGCCAGAACCCGTGTCAGACCCAGCTCCTCATCTCATACAGGTACCGAACCCGATGCAGCATCATGGCCGCCCCTCCAGTCGACCCGCTGGCTGCCGCCACCCAGAACTTGATGGCCGCCGTGCAAGGCTACGTCCGCGCCGCTGTTGCTTCCGAGATGGCCAACGGCCCGGTGCAGCCCCGCCTCGCCAACCCCGACTCTCTCCGTGCCCGTCTCGACACCGCCATTCAAGAGAATCGCGACCTCACGGAGAGGGTCAAGAAGCTCGAGAGTAAGAACCGCCGGGACAAGAAGCGCATGATTTTTCCTTGCCTCACCACTGAAGACACATGCTAACATGACGTAGCAGACCAGGACAAGAAGAGGGAGACTGTTGGTAGGTTTCTGTCCTACACCGGCATCGACTTCGAGGCCCAAAGAGCCTCCCGCCACTCGGCGGCCAAGCTTGAGTTCCATTTCTTCAAGAAGCTCCCTCTCGAGCTCCGCATGAAGATTTGGAAGTTCGCCCTCCCCGGCGGAAGGATCTTTGAGATGACTGGGCCCGATGGCCACTTCCACCGCATGATGCGCGCCCATGATCCCAACCAGGCCAACCCCGCCACCGTCCGTATGAACTCGGGTCTGCCTGAGATGTGCGTCACCACCCACAAGACGCCCAAGCTCCGCCTCGCTTGCAAGGAGGCCAACGCCGCCTTCAAGGAGGCAGGCGCCTTTGAGTTCGGCCTTTTCGGTGGCGAGTACAAGGGCGTCTGGTTCAACCACTCCGAAGACATTCTCTACCTGCGCGCCGAGCCCTCCAGCTGGACAAACATCGACATGTCCCGCATCGTCCGCGTCGCGCTGCCCCACACCAAGCTCATGACCAAGGACAACTGCACCGCCAAGATGGACACCATCCTCACCCACTTCACATCCTGCCGCGAGGTCATCATGCTCCAGGCCGTTGACTGGGATTATCGCTCCTGTCTTCCTCCTCCCCGCCTGCCCGCGAAGCTCTACCCTCTTCAGGCCGACGACACCATCGGCCACCACGACTACCCCATCGAGATGTCGACGGAGATAGGAAACGTCGCCGTCTGGAGGGACGTCAAGCGCATCGTCGAGCAGCTGTGGATGGAGCACGTGGTCCAGACCAAGGGTCTCAGCCAGGGCAAGGTGCCCAAGTTCGTCGGTATGGAGATGCTGAGAGCCAAGCACACTCTGTTTGACTAGTATCATTGAGGGCAGGTGGTCCGGCTTTTCTTTAAACTCACGACTTTTGGGATTGTATCATATTCAGGCAAAACATCAGGACTCGCAAGGTGTTGGATTCGGAAGGGTTGCTTTTTCCGACAGGTCCCCGAGATGACTTATGGCAAGACACACACGATTTTGTTTCCTCTTTATACGATGACTTGGCAAACGGGGTCTTGACTTGTGGTGTCTGAACGTAGCATTGTCTTCTTTTGATAAACTCTTCTAATTGCTGGCTATTTCTTTGCTAGAGAAACTCATCGAAGCGAAATTCGTGTCGTGTCACCGTATCGTTGTTCCCGCCCTGTTCTCTCTTCGGTACTCCTTCCCATGATCTCTTCTTCTGATTTTGTCCCCATGTCTAGTTGTATTGTTCCTTCAACATCCTGTCCCAGTGTACAGTCTGCCAGTATTGTACTCTTATTCCCTTCGCTTCAGCAATATCGGCCCGTCTCACCGGCGCTCTCTCATCCTGTTCACCGCCTGATCAAGCTGGCAGAGCCTTGGGTATGGGCTTTCGAAAGACCTCCACAGCCTCCACCTCCAGATCTCCTTCGTGATATTCTCTGACCGGCTTTCGCTGGGCCCCTCCTCATTGATCTCACGTAAGATCTCCTTTCGTCTCTCGAAAATGTTCAAGATCACCTCTTTGGCATCTTCCCAACCAATGACATCGCTCTCAGGCGCATCATAGCCTTCCACAACTTGTCTCTCTTCCATGGGCCAATCGGTATCGTCAAATTCATGATAGCCGACAGATTCTCCGTCCATGATTTTCCGGAAGACTGGTTCCGTTCCCCTGAGTTCCTTCGCATCCATCTCCCAGGAACCGGGCGGATAGACAGCGACTATCAGCCTCTCGCAGTAGTCGAACTTTGGTGACATCAGAAAGTCTCGGCAGTTTGGCGAGCGGAGCGCACAATCTGCGGAAAGATAGATGGTGGCGGGGGTTTCGATCTGTGTTCTAGTGCACTGCATTTCGCATGCGTAGTATATCGCGTCCGTGGAGACATTATACCAGGTGCCTCGCATGCGACTCCCCTAGTAGCCGAATTGGAAGCACCCTCTCAACATACACACACCATACGCCTCGCGGCATGCTTCCCGCATGGCAGGCGGGGGGAACTCTGTAAGGAATTTTACTGGTTTCATAACATCCGTGGAGGAAGCCTCCGGTTCGTAAACCCGTGGCGGAGGAAGCGCAAGGTCCCAGATGCCACGCCGAATCTCAGGCGGGAGCTCTCGGAAGCGATGGAGCGTCGTTGCCGCGACTGTTCGAATCCGGTCAGAACGGTGTTCATGCACGAGGATGCTTGGCTTACCTGGCTGGGGAGCTTCGATGGCATTGGCGGGCGGAAGGCCCAGAAGCCAGCGTGCTGCGCCAAAGACCTTCAACATTACGACGATGGAGAGACTGATGGCAGTTTGTTGTGTCGTCGTATTTGCAGGTGGGTGGTTGGGGCAGAAGGGCAGGGGCCTCCTGAACGAAGTGGGAGTGAAGAAGGAAGGCAGCTGGCTGCGACCTGCTGCGAATTTCACGTCGACGAGACTAAAACGTGTGATAGGAAGGCGCCTCAGACTTTTGCAAGGGAAGAACCACCTGGACTTCTTCAGGCAAGAAGCATGCGAAGGGCAGTCGCGAGGCATAACAGTTTAATCTCCACATCTTCAAAAAGTTTCCCGTTTCTGGAAACAACGCACACATTCAACGACATTCGCTCAACTACATCCCATACGCTCTCCCTGATTTCTTTGAGAATCGACAAACAATCACCAAAAATGGGGTCCGATACGATTAATGTCGACGCACCTGATGCGGAACAGACACAGTCAGCCGCGACCTTCCACTACTTCTGCAAGCTCCCTCCTGAACTACGTATCAAGATTTGGAATGCCGCCCTGCCCAATGCTCGTACAATAGAGATCACCGGCGACGTTCTCGAAACGCTTTCCGACACCGCGCGACTTGTCAACCTACCTAAGCCGCCGGCCATCCGCGACGTCTGCCACGAAGCATGGGAGATCACCCAAAAGAATTGGGTTCATTCTCTTGGACTGCGATACGAAGAGTTTGGAGAAAACTTTCCGGGATTCTGGTTCGACCCGGATACAGACATCATCTTGGACTGGAAATGGTGGAACCGAGAATTCGAAGACGGGCAGTTCTTCGAGCGTGTTCAAAATCTCGCCATCTGTTCGCGGGACGTGTCTCTAGAGGAAAATTTGGACCGCGTTCTTGATTTATTCTGGGACTTGTTGCCAAATATTCGCCGCCTCATCATCATCATCTTTGATGATGTTGGTCTCGATGGTGAAGAGGGTCTCATTCCGGAGCTTTATCTCATAGACGACGACGAATACATCATCACCTCCCGCGATTATGGGGAGACTTGGCTTGATTTGGACTACTTTTCTGGGGATTATGATGTCGAGTGGTGGATGTTACGGGAGTATTTGGAAGATCGGCTGAAGGAAATCGCTGGATCTGACAAGCAACGGTCTCTCACAATCGAAGGGGCGGAGCTCATTTTCCATCGAATCCGCGATGCTAAAGAGAAGAATGGACGGACATCAGGAGAGTGAAAATGGGCCAAGTCGAGAATTTTGACAGAGATGAGGGGAATTACATGGGTTGGAGGTCAGTTATAGGCGAAGGACAACGAGGGGGAAAGACATCAAGGGCGAGAATGGCTATATATATGAATAGATAAGAGACTGTCCACTTTTCCTCGGGGTTCAAATGTGCTCTATCAAGCTAATATTGTCGTCATCGTCGTCGTCCGTTATTATTGTCCGTCGCTGTTGTTACCTCTACTCGGTTTACCACTTCAACTATCATCCGTAGAACGAGAGACGTCACTGCCTGAAAATTGCCGCTCCTTCCTCATTCAACGGACTTTTCATCTTTCTCTCTCTCTCTCTCTCCTCCACGTTTTGCTCCCCTCCCCCTTTCTACAACCAACCCGAGATTTCTCACCTCGCACAACCAACCCACCACAGCCTACCTAAATACCCAGATTACCAAAATGGATTCAATGATGAGCCTGATCGAGGCGGCTTCCAGCACTGTTGCCAAACAGTGCGAGGTCATCACGAGAATGGCGCATGCCCTCGCCACGCAAGGTGCACTTTCCGCGTCCCAAACGAACGATCTTTTAGAGATTCAGAAAACAATCAGCAAGACAATCGAATCCCAGGCAAGCACCATCCAGTGCTTGGCTGAAAGTCGCGCGGCCAGCAACTGCGACTTCGGCCGAGCAATGCCTGGTAAGTGTTTCCGGTTGACTTCCTTCTCAGAACTAATGACATTGGCAGCCACGGCCTTCCCACGCTTCAACCAATTCCAGCCCGAGATTCGCAAGATAGTTTGGGAGATGGCACTGCCAGACACCCGCGTCTTCATGCCGCATGAGATAGATCGAGACCATGTTACTCTTGCCTTCACCCTCGACCACAAACCTCCTGCTATCCGAGCTGCCTGCAAAGAAGCTTGGCTCGTCACAGAAGAGAACGGAAGATTCGCGTTCGGATACGGACATACTCGTGCTCATGGATTCTGGTTCAATCCCAGCAGAGACATCGTTTTTGTTCGACGCGGTGAGATCTCCGAGATCGTTGAGTCAGCAATCAAGGCGGCTGGTACCCAGAACGTTGCAATCGAGTGGTACTTCTTTACTTCTGAGCTCTCCTGCATTTCTGAGATGGAGCGGACGAGAGAAAGGCTCAAATGCCGCAAAGTTGTCGTCATAACCCTTCCTCAGCGGTTTGATAACGCCGAATTCGTCCACGATGCGCAGCTTTTCAAATTGCTCGACCGCGACTACGTCTTCGTCGATGAGAACAATCGTTTCTACGACTTCGTCTACGACGACGACCATAACGACGACGACTATGGCGAGGACGACAACGATGACGACGACAACCATGAGGGTGATCAGCAGCGACGGATCACTTGGGCGAGACTGAAGAAAATACTGGAGAACATCCAATCCCGCCGACTGCAACCACAAGAACGCCATCTCGTCTTTGAAGGCATGGAGCTTCTGGTCAACAAGCGAAAATGATGACGGCCGACACGGAAGTGGATTTGCAGAGGGATGGGGAGAATCTTTGACCAAGAAGGATCACGTCGAAGCAACACAAAGTGAAGCTTATGCTAGACCGTAAGCAAAGCAGCTGTGGCAATGTCGATATTTTATCGAAGAGGCTGGACTTGGGATGCGAACAGAGAGCATTTCAGATACGGCGCGAAAAGTTCCTTTGGGGAGGGATTCGTTTTTATCACGGGTCAACTACCTGAGACTATCGGCTTCGGGACTGGCCGGCAAGTAGATTAGCTGAAGTTCTCTTCTCACACCAATACACATATCTCTATAAATTTCTTCGCTTATCGAGTCTTTTCAAGTCAGTGGTCTTTCAAGTCAGTGGTCAGTAATGTGTCAAGCGGAAAGGACTACAGCATCGCAAAGGCCCCGCCATCACTTTCTGTTCTGAATTTCAGCCCCGGAGTCTTGGTCGAAACGAACCTGGAGGTTACTTACCACTGGGCATTGGCGTCTTCTAGGTCCATGGAAGTTGTTGCCCTTTTACACACTTTTAGGTACACGCTCCTTCCATGTTTCTCAGAAGCCACCTCCTCCTTCTGCTTCCAACGGTTTCCTTTCCCCCATGCCTCGCAGACTTCTGCCTCTCTTCGTTCCCTCGCCCTTCTTCTTCCACCTCCCACTCTCGTCCCACTACACAACAGGAAATATCACCAAGCTACGAAGTTTTTCTTTCCAATATGGATGGACCACACCTTTCCGCCGCCGCCACCGCCCAGGGGGTATCGGAGCAATTCAGAATCATCGAAAGGATGGCACAAGTGGGCGCTGAGCAAAGCGCAAGATGTCGGGCGCCGTCCCAAACGAAGAGGCTCATGGGTAATGACCAAACCTCAGCAGTTCGCACGAACGCCTGGCTAACTACTGTGCAACAACAGAGATCCAGAAGGAACTCATCGATATGATAGAGGTCCAGACTCGCATCATCGAGCGACTCCCGATGACTAGTCGTTAGTTCCGTGTTTTCCTTTGGAAGGGAACCAAGAAAGCTCAAATGGATCTAGGTCCAACTTTCCACGGGTTCTCAAGGCTGCCCAATGAGCTTCGACACATGATATGGGAGCTGGCTCTTCCTGGAACTCGCATTTTCTGCCCTCAGCGCGACGCCGAAGACAACATCTGCCTCCTTGAAAAGCACAAACGGCCTGTAATTCTCCATACTTGTAGCGAGTCAAGAAAAGTCGCCGAGAAGCACGGCGACTTTCAATTCGGCCGCAATGGCTCGAGGGCTTATGGGTGCTGGTTCAATAACAACAGAGACATTGCTTTCATCCAGGATATTATGTGGCATCCTAGTAATGCGCAATTGCCTTTAGACAACTGCAAAATCATTGCTGTTGAGTGCACTAACTTTACAACTAAGAACGACTGCATTGCGACTATGAAATGGATTTTGGAGCATGCACCAAAGTGTCAAAAGGTCATCATCTGCTCTCGCCCTGATTCTGATAACCTCAAGTCACCGCAGATGTTCGCGCTCCGTGACAATGAGCAAGTAAGGATATTTGGTACCCTGTATGAGGGTGCAGCTACATGGGGAGACTCAAAGAGAATTCTCGAGAATTTCTTCAGCCAGCAGGCAACCCTCGATGCGTTGCAAATCACGGAGAAGGAATTGCCGGGGCTGGAGGGTAAGGAGGTGCTGGAAACTCTCAATCCATGAGCTTACAGACAACCTCAGGGCTCAGCCGAGATAGTCATTTGAACTTCAACGGGACGAGCATCGCCTGGTAGATGACGAAGCCTTAATCAGGCTTTCTAGAAGTACCAAAATAGAGCTAGCTGCTGTAGACATCAACATGACACCGATGGCATACTATGTCATGCATTCTCTGACGTTGCTTTTGATCTTCTCGTCCTCTCTATTCTCTAAGCCGTCAATGCTCCCTCATTGTTCCTTCACCAAACCTCGTGAGGCTTATCTTGTAAGTCAAAAGGGCATTACCACAGAATTTCCATCGAGCGTTCAAGCCACCGCATCCGACCCCGACTCCCCCTCAGGTTCCACCACAATTTCGACTTGGGACACTGGGAAGCAACCTGGATAGACATGGTGCCGCATGTTCAAATTTTTTTTATTTTGATCTCAATGGGGACCTCTGGGCTTTTCAACAACCGTGGCCGCCTCACACCAAAAAGGCTCACAAGAACGACCCAAAAGAACGTCGCTGCCGCACATACCAACCCATCCCCAACCCCAGGAATGGAGACGCAGTGGTCAAGTGCTTTCGTTGCGGTTTGCACTGCCTGCGATATATCCCTCCTGAGCATAGACGACATGAAAAAGCATGCGGGGCACACAAACGACTTGGAGCGGAACATGGAAGAGTCCTGGGAGTTCCAAAATGCATTCCTCGAGCTTCTACGAACGAAACACCAAGCACGAAGGGTGTCTGCAAACGAGGTCTACAAGACGTATACCCAAAACCCACAACATCCAAGCATACAGCCAACGCAATGGAAATCCTTGAATGAGTTCGTCTTCTGGCTTGGCCAAGAAGGTCTCTGCACCGTCGACAGGAAGCCGGACGGCCTCCACATCGCCTACATCGCACCCATCCACCGGACGCCCGCTGCTCACGAGCGCGAAGAGGGACGGCGACGGCACGTCCACGAGAACAAAATACCACGGGAAAGCTCCATGAATCAGACTGTCAAACTCCAGCTTCCAATCTGCTCTCGTACAGAACATCGGCAGACATCTAGAACAAACCCTCGGTCAGTGGTATTTGAAGTTCATCGGGTAAAGAAGAGAACAGATGGAACGTTGTAGATAGTTTGACTCACACAAAGGCTACAAAGGTGTAAAACAGTCTCCCCGGTTCTGCAGTTTGTAAGAATGGTACTCAAAAGACAAGACTGGATGGGTTTGGTGATCCGTGCACAACGTGATTCGCGCTAGTCCAAGAGAGGCATGGTGCGGGGTAGGTAAGCTACCTTCCGTCAGTGAGGTGTGTCGCGGGGCAGCTTTCTTCTGGGTTCCATCATCAACAACATCGTCACATTCCACCGACATTGAACCACCACCACTTCGGGCTGCGAAGATGAGTACGGTTCACATCAAGTCGCCGGCGGAGTTCCAGAAGCTCCTGTCGAGCTCCCGCATAGTCGTCGCCGACTGTGAGTTTCTCCATCCCCAACACCTACTGGAGCCGAAGCACTCTTCCCCTTGACATCCTTGAAGTAGATGGCTGGCAGGCTGCTTCATTGAACTCTGGATGGTCTGAATTGAGGCAATCTCGCCGTTACCTGGGTTGCTAATGTACTCTCTCTTGCTTTGAGGTTGCTGACAAATTGGGCTCTTCGCAGTCTACGCCGACTGGTGCGGTCCCTGCAAGGCCATTGCTCCCCTCTACGAGCAGCTCTCGTCCTCCCTGTCACGCAAAGACGTCGTAACCTTCGTCAAGATCGACGTCGAGGCTCAGAAGGATATCGCCAGCACCTACAATGTCACCTCCCTCCCGACCTTCATGGTCTTCCGCGAAGGCAAGGCGATCGAGAAGGTCCAGGGCGCCGACCCCCGCAAGCTCCAGGAGGTTGTCAAGAAGTTGGTGAAGGAGGTCGAGGGCGGATCTGCGTCTGGATCTGGCGAGGGTTCTGGCAGCTCGAGCGGCGGCAGCTGGAGAGGCGCTGCGCTCCCGCGCGGCTACACCGATATCACCGATCAGATTGAGCCCAAGGGCTGCGAGCTTCTGAATGCCAACGAGGACTTTGGTCCCGTCCGTGTCTTGTTCGATACCTCTAAGCCCAGCGCGCTGGCCAAGAAGGAGGGAGCCAAGGACTGGGTTGAGAGTGGCGCTGACGATCAGCTTCTGCTATTCATGCCGTTCCAGTCCATGCTGAAGCTGCACACCCTTCAGGTACGTTCATCGTTGAGATACAAGCAACCTAGCATTACTGACCAACATCGCAGCTGACCTCTCTTCCTCCTACCGACGACGACGACGATGAGGCTCCGATGCGTCCCGGCACCATCCACCTCTACACGAACAAGCCTCACAACCTCGACTTCAGCGAGGCCGACGATACCCCTCCTACGCAAGCCATCACTCTCACCGAGAAGGACTGGAACGCCGACGGCACTGCCAACATTGGTCTTCGGTTCGTTAAGTTCCAGAACATCAACAGCTTGATCATCTACGTCACCAAGGGCGACGGCGACGGCGAGAAGGTGCGCCTTGACAGAGTGCGCCTCATCGGCGAGTCGGGCGAGAAGAGAGAGATGGGCAAGCTGGAGAAGATTGGCGATGAGGCCGGCGAGTAGGGGGGGCCTCTCAGTTAGAGATCGGACTAGTGGAGATGATGAAAATTCTGCGGAAATGCCCTCGATATGAGACATGATTAGAGCCCAAGTCATAGAGGTTTCTCGCAAGTAGCACGCGGGAAGCCGCCAAATAAGACCAAAGCACGGCCTGCCTGGGCCATTAAAAAGATCGCAGGTGCAGCTCAACTTCGGTACGTTTACGTGACCTGGACGATGCGCCTACTACTGCGCGCGTTCCCAAGCTCAGGACGCGATTCCGCAATGGATCTAGGACCGCTTTATTCGCGCGTCCATGTGGTCGAGGAAGAAAACCTCGATCCAAGGTGAAAGTATGTCCGGCCTCTCTTGCGCGTTCCAGCGGTTACAAGCCGACAGGAACAAGTGAAGAAAGGCCGGCTGCAATTAAATTTGTTCTGGGGCACGATTGACGCATTTGAAATCCATTGATTATGGGATTCCAGCAACAGGGGAAACTGTAACGAATCGTGCCAGCCGCACGAAGAAAAAAAAGAAGAAAAAAGGAAGTCTTCGTCAAGGCCGCGCTCGAAAAAGACTTTTTTATATCGCGACCCGTCGCTGCACGGCCGCTAGGGTGGGGCCGCCCGCGCTTAGGTTATCTCTGCGGAAGAACTATTCTGCCGGAAAGGAAGGACGGGTCCACGGGTGGTCGGGTTCAGGTTGACGGGGCGGGGACGAG